TCTTCCAGCAGCAACCTTAGTTTTTCCCAGGAGGTCTCCCATCCAGGTACTAACCAGGCTCACACCTCCTTAGCTTCAGTGGGTTGCCAGTTGTGAGTTGCAGGGTGATATGACTGCTGGCTAATAAAGAGCACTTTCAGCTCTAAAAGTCTGAATTCCTCTTAAAAGGAGGATGCAAGTGGTTACGTTACCTGTACAGCGCTTTGAATGAAGTGTGAAGAAAAGCACTATACAAATATAAGCAATTATTAATTATTTTTGTCATGTCTTACTTTGAGTTTGAAAGTTCTGAGTGTAATTTAAAGAAGCAAAAGGCTTATTATGGAACACTGGCTCAAATCTGGGACTCCGAAACACTAATATAGCGATGATAGTGACAGGAAAAGTGCAAGATGCAGAATAGAAGTGAAAAAGCGAGTGAGGTAATTTGTGAACCATACCAGCAGTGCTGTAATTCTAATTCCAAGAGCTTGATAAATGTGATGTGCAAGGAAGCAGAAAGTGTGCTTGATGTGATGTCTTCTTCTGCCTCCGGACATGAGACTAAAGTTGTCTAGCTTGGATCCGCCTATCACTTCTCTGATTGCTCAACAAAAGCAGCTCCATTCGTCACATTAACTTTTTAAGTAATAAAAACATTTGCAAAATATTAAGCTTTGTTTGTAAACAATATTAGTACTTTTCATAAAACGTAATTCAATATGAGTTATTTTAGTACTTTAATAGGTGATCATTTTTAAAGGGGAAGAAGTGGACGTGGGCATAGGTGGTCTGCGGAACAGAGAACCACTGCTATAACACAATAAAATGTAAAAAAGCCCAAGGGGGGTGTAGACTTTCTATAGGCACTGTATATGTTTATTGTATATTTGACATACTGTACATAAAAACTGAAATAAGATTCAGATTGTATGCAGGGTTTCATTAAGTGTGCCAATCTGATTCCAGTTCTGTGTATCATTATTCATGACAATACAGTACAAGCAACATCTTGACAGCCTAAAACATGCTGAGGACATCCTGTTTAAAAATCTGTATTGCTGTTGTTGAAGAAGAACGTTAACAGTAATTCATGCTGTATGTTTTCTGTAAAGAATGAGTGTGGATGGAAAGGTTTCTTTAAAGACCTTTGTTACCTTGAATAGCTGACCATTCTGTGTTTTTTCTACTATTCTAAAAAAAAATACTTAAAAGCCATTATAATTCTTGTGTAACGATAAATCTTCTGAAGATATTTTTGCTTACTTTTTCAATGTTTCCTGTACATCACAGTGAATTCTCACACAGCTGTGTATGTATCTTTCTTGTTCTTATTTTAGAACCCCAAACTGTAGTTTTAAAGAAAATCCAATGATTTTGTCTCATGTGTACATTCCACAGTAACCGAATACCCCAGCAGAACACTGAATAAGTTTGTCTGCATATCTTCAGCCCTGAAGTGCGTGAATAAACTAATGCTGATTTTGGCAGCAGTTATAGGCCATGGAGATTGACACAAGAACACAAAAGGGAAAAGAAAATCTGGAATATTGATCCGTGAAATATGACAATCATGTACAAAACAGAAAACTGCTGTATTCCCTTTGTAGGTAATCGTAAAAAATATTACTGTATGTTAATATTTGTTGTATCCTTAATTTTTCAATTTGTTTGTGTTCATTACTCAAAAATTGTGAAATATTTCAGTTTAATTCAGTTTAATTGCTCAAACAAAAGTGTTGAGAGTCAGAAGTGTAATTGTTATATCATTTTCACATGGGTTACAATATACAAAACTGAAAAATTCATACTGCCTCTTTAATTCTACTCATGTTGATGTTGATCTTGTGAGCAAAAAAAAAACTTTTTTTGAGAATAATTATTTAACCAGATTTTTTGTGTTTGTAGCACACTGTAGCAAATCTGCTTTCATTTTGCTGTTTTATGCAAGGTTGTCTTCTATTAGGTATAGTTTACATGTGCAGGGGTTCTCATTTTGCAATGTAGTTAATTTGGGGTTCAACCATATTTGTTAATCATTCCACTAGTAAGAGGTGAAAAGGCATGTATAAATAAGTGAGTTTTCATGCACAGTTTATAATCCATGAGGCTCAGATGATGGTTGTACTTTGTGCATCGTCGCCTTTTCTGACGATGAGCTGCATGAAGAAACCAGTGCAGGAGAGCTTTTTGAAATGGGAAAGCCGTTGCACTGGGGCTGTCCCACTCTCTCAGCCTCAGAAGCCTGGGTCCAGTGGTACAAGTAGTCATCCTGAATGGAGACTTCCTTGGTTGGAGTGGATGGCTATGACATCTTTCTGTGCCTTGTCATGCTCTTCACTTTCTATGGAGCATTGCAACAGTATAGTGTCTCTATTACTATACTGGTGCATAAGGACCCACACAGACTGCAGGATGAGCACTCCCCCATGGCCCCACTAACACCTCTACGAAGGCAACCTTAGCTTTCCCAGGAGGTCTCCCATCCAGGTACTGACCAGGCTCACACCTGATTAGCTGCAGTAGGTTGCTAGTTGTGAGCTGCAGGGTGATATGGCTGCTGGCTGATGCTAAGATACAAATGTTTAAAAGTTAATGTTACAACAAATTAATGAAAGGTCTATAGAACAACTACTGATAAACTTTGAATCTATTTTATTTTATTGGCACACTTGCAGGTCACATTTATATGTGTATTAAATATAATTATTAGAGTCAGTAGTGTTTTTTTTTTTTGCATTTTTATAATGCCCATCAGTATAAGTTTCAAGAATATGAAATGCATCACAAATTGACAGGTTTTATGACATTTGGATTGGGATATTCACATTCTCCAAAAACTGGACTATCCATGAATTACAGCAGTCTATTATTATTTCACAGAGCACCTCTATTTTGTGAGTCGAGGTACTAATTATTTTATCTGGTGAAGGCCACAAAAGAATGTACAAATTAGAATTTGAGTTGGCACTATTTCCATGTAATGGTGTACTTTATTGTATGACTGTTTAAATTGGGCCACAGTTAAGCCTACTAGGCCTACTTTATACTTAGGTCTGGGCATACTATAGAGGGTTAAGATAAGCATGTACTGCTTTTCTTATTTAAAAGAATGCTTGAATTGTACATTTCTGTTATTTGCACTATGACTATTCAAGACATTGGGTTTAGCCAACAGCAACAGGGATACCTGTATTGGATGAGTAGACGTTTTTACCAACATCACACAAAGTGGTGGCAAAAGTCCATTAAATGTAGTACAGTTGGCAGTTTGCCTAAAGGTTACAGGGCATGTAAGTGGTGTTCTCTTCTGACATTGTTTATAGCTGTTTTTTAAAAAAAAACAGCAACAAAGAGAAACATCTCAGGTTCTGCACATTGAAAATTAAACCATTCTGACAAGACTTCCCCATAAAACTTTCTATCCTTCAGTAGAGGAATTGCAACCGTGGATGAAGTCTTGGTGATAATGTCATGACTTCCAAATGTCATTGTAAATGTTGAAATTTGTTCTCTTGATTAATGTGGCAATAACACAGTTTGTATTGTCAATTATGTCATGTTTGCCAATAACGTTTCTTATGCTTTAACCAGACTAATACCACAGATTCTGAATAGATAAGGTCTGAAAAGTCCTTGTATTGTTTTCTAAGTTGATACAAAGAAATGAATCACCAACAGCAGCTCTTCTGAAACATTTAATTTCTGTTATGACATACGCAAAAATAAAAATGCTGTTATGTAATTTAAATCATTACATAATATAAATACTCCATTATTCTATACCTGCCATAAACCACTCTACTACATATTCATTTTTAAAACATGGCAGGTACTGCAAATGGTTAAAATACATAAACATGACAACAAACATCGTGAGCAAAATATATCATCTAATTAAAAGGACTGCTTTTAATTCAGTGTTCTTTGCATTACCCTGTCTCACTTTGGCTGTGTCACATAATCCAAAGAGAATGGAAGTGGAAGTTCAGGGGAAGTAGCGTTAAGACTGAGTTTAGAAGTCACTCTTTTATACAAAGGCTTGTGGGAGTATGGGACGAGCAACCCAGCCATGTTGTTGAAGCTGCTACCCTGGCTTCTCACAAAAAGCAGCTAGAGGAAATAAAAGAATTGATAGATACCAATCATCTTATCTTTTGTTTATAGCATTTCTTGTGTTCTTATGTTCCTCTGTTGGAAGAAACATGTGAGAGGTTTTGCATCTTCACACTCACTTTGAACAGATCATGTTGCATCCTTTTCAACAGGAAGGTAGTGGTGCAGTACCCAGGACTGATCTGCATCCTGGTCCCTGCGAGTTCCAGTTTAAAATTCATTCCTTTTTTCTTATTTTATTGTTAGATGTTCATATAAAATAACTTAATATCTGAAAAATATCTTCGTATACCTTGGGAGGTGAAAAAATGAAAAAAACAATGTGAATTGTTTGTGTAGTCAAGATGGCCACACTTTATTTCAGGAGAGGCAGATGAAGAGCAATGCAAAGACGCTGCCTTCCAGTACTGTTGAACATATAGTATGTTTTTTCCACTTTTTTTGAGGATGAGCTGTGGACTGCGGTTACTGGGAACACAAACATTGTTGCTTATGACTTCCCTGAAGTGCTGGATTGCAGCGTCAATGCAAAGGCATAATTATATGGAACAACTGCTACCTCCTCACCAGTGTTCAGGACTCAGGAATCGTAATCGCAAGTCGGTGTCAATAAAGATTAAATTTGGAATATGCTTCAACTGCAATAATGTTCCAGTATCTATCTTTTCCATTAAGTAAAAGCCAAAACGCCACTAATGCTTTTAGTACCTCTGTGTAAAGCAGTTATGAAATTATTCGTCTTAATGGCTGTACTGGTTGCTCTTGTTCTGTGCCTAGATTCCTTTCCAAATAAAAGAACTTGTTTAGTTGCCACACTTAGGCTATTGAACACATAGTAGCATTGGACTGGCATAGTGAAAGCATAAAATTAAAATGTTAAACAATATACCGTATGTATTTCAGGATTATTTTTGTACTCACTGCAGGGCTGCAGGTGCTATATACTTTAAAGTTCTCCACAAACTAGTATCCACTGACTTAAAGCTCCTATTTCTAGATGTTACACATTATTCCTTAAATTAAAAATGGTATATTTATTGGTTGTTCCAAAACAGAATAATCTGAGCCCAGATTTTTCAACTAATTTCCCTGCTATCTGTGGAACTCTATTCCATTTACTATTAGGAATGTTAAACTGTTAAATTCCTAATTAAATTGGATTGTTTCAATTCAAAACCAACGAACAATCTTTTGGAATGTACGTTTACAAAACAAATTTTTGTAATTTGTCTGTGTATCAGGCTCATGGGCTGTCCAGGACTCTTGAATAACGTGGAATAAATACAGTAGCAGTTTTAAAAAATAGAAATTTGTATTGAATGTCAAAAAAGGCATTTGTAAGAAGGTCTGGGGCTCAACTTCCACAGAAGAAAAGAGGAATTTTAAATTTTGTAAAAAAAAGGTGTCTTCACGCTACATCACAACAAAATTGAAATGTGTACATCAGTGTATGAAAGTTTGCTGACACCCACTGAAGACTCGGTATCAATGGAAAGGTGAAACAATTTACAAACATTGACGTTGATCCATCTGAATTCTCCTTTGGTGCTCCTACTCCTGGGCTGTGTTTGTGCACGGGTATCTGTCCAGCTGTTTCCATAAATGCGGAGCTCTTCTAGGCCAGAACCAGGCTGTTCCAGGGCTCAGTTTTGGAACCTGAGGTCACCGCATGACTTACGGGTGACAGCTTAAGAGAAGAGGCGCTGCTATTGACGGCCATATAACCATGGGAAGATGAAGCCTAAAGGAATCATTGAGAAAGAAACCTGTTAAGTTGATTGCTGTGCATGTTTACATTTTGCACTTTTGCAGTTCCACACTGATAAATGCACATTATAAGTTTAAATAAAATTAATTACTGGCCAATAAACAGCTAAAAAATGCTTTTTTGACAGATAATCTGCAATCTAGTTACAGAGAGTTATATGTCATTCATCCGATCTTTCATTTTCTAACCCTGTTATGCAACAGGGTTGTGAGGGAGCTGGAGCCTATCCCAACAAGCAAGGGGACAAGGCCCTGGACGAACACCAAGGGGAGCACGCAGAAACAAACATGCATGCACACACTCACACCTGTCATGAAGGTGTTCTTTCCGGACCCTATGCAGATGACACAATCCGGGGATGAGTTAGGAAAACACAGGGAATAAGGCATGCAGGAGTTGGGAATGAAAACAGGGGGCGTGTCCATGGTGCGCTGGTGTTCGGGGGAGGTGTGGCCGAGGCAAACAATCCAGAGCTGAGTCCAAAAGGGGAATCCAAGACAGGGCAAAAGTCCAAAGCCAGGCAATCCATCCAAGACAGACGAGATTAAAACAAGAACCGGGTCGGGACCGGCACAGGAACAGGAACAGAAACTAAAACCTTGACAGGACCAGGCACTTCCAGGTCCCGGACTCGCCTGGTACAGGAACCAAAGCAGAGCCCGGAAGAGAGTGAGCGCCTGGCTTTTATAGGACGAGGGGCAGGAACCGGAGGCAGGTTCAGGGAATGAGTACTGAAGAAGGAAGGGCTGGACCGCCTTCAGAGGAGGGGTTTACGATCGTGACACACTAGGGACTATTTTCCCATAAACCAAGTCACTTCAGACCGTGCAGATAGCACCCCAGGGCTAGAATTGAACCCAGAGCCCCAGGGCTGCAAGGCAGTAATGCTGACCATTGCTCCAACCATCCCGCCCCTTATATATAATTATGTAATCACTTTACTAATGTATTTATTCTTAATAATGTTTTATTCTTAATAGAAATAGACTAGTTAAAATATGTGATTGTTGTAGACTTTAAACCTCTTTTTAATGTATAGCAACTCATTTTAAGAAAAGAAAGTGTTCCTCATTAAATGAAACATTTTTGAATGAAAATGATTTCCCATTTATTAAGGTGATAATTTGATACAGGTGATTTGCAATAACAGATAAGGTCATATTAATCAAAGAAGATAAATATATACTGTACTTTTATAGCAATAAAGAGCACTAATTAAAACATACTGTATAAAGGAAAACGAAACTACACAGATGAACACAAACAGTCATCAGTCCAACTTTCCAAGAAGGCTAAGTGAGGCAAAGTGTATGTGTTGTACCTCAGAGAAAAAAATGAAGAGTCACAACAGAAAAGGTTCACCCTGACAGGTTAGGAATGAGAAAACAAGATAACTTTCCTTTGTTCATCTTACCTGATGGTGAGTGCTGTGTTGTGCATACTGGGGAGTGGTCCCAGGCTCAATTTTGATTGGGAGTAACTCTTGTGTGCTGGAGTTTGCAGTAGGAGTGCTAGGGGTGCGGGTGTCTGCGCTGAGCAGCCCTGCCAATGAGAACAGCATTCATCACAACTCAGCATCCCGTCCCCTTTCAACTTAGTAAAACTGTTTGGAGTGAAATTCCCAGAATGCAAGTGGCTGATATTCTTACACATACAGTCTCATTGCCAAACATGGCTTCTTATTTAAAGGTAAATGAATATGACTTTTGTGGGTGAAAATGGGGGGAAAACATGGCTTTTAAAAGAGACATTTGGTATCAAAGCTGTGAAACTGAAATCTGGAGAGTGTGAGGGACTACTTGAGCGGTTCGTTTCTTGGGCTGGGGGAGTACACACCTGCTGGCTTGGCTTTATTGAGGTTCTTCGGTTTGCGCTTGCGGGTTTGGATCCCTTCCTTCTTCATTGCCAGCGGCCGCGGAACCTGAGGGACAGCAGAGTTGTTGGCCACATGACTGTACACATCATACACCAAAAAACCTTCACTTCTGCCCCACCTGGACATTTACAGATAGATAAGACTTTATTGATGTGTTACAGCAGTCCAGCCCAGGACAAGCAAACAAAAAAAAACAGACATCAGAATAGACGGAAAATTAAAATACGTACAGCAATACAAATAAAATATAAAATAAATACATAGGTGTGTAAAAAATATGCTCATAGCCACTGTAAAAACAATAAAATATGTGTAAAATGTGCATAGGTATATACAGATTGAGTGTACAAAAAAAAGTACAATGGAGCAACATGCTGTCCATAGACGAGCAAATGAAGGGCTAACAGTCCTAGCCTAGGGCAGCGTTATAGACCCTGACAACCGCTGGGAGGAAAGACCTGCAGAAACGTTCCCTTGAACACCGTAGCTAGAGCAGTCTGTTGCTAAAAGTGCTCTGCTGCCCAATAACGGTCCCATGAAGCGGATGAGAGACATTGTTCATGATGGCTGTGACAGTGATGCACAGTTAAAGGTAAAATTGGGGCCAACAAAAAGCCAAAAAAAATGAAAGAACCCCCAAAAACCCCCCACCCAAGCACACACATACACCCATGTTTAAATAGCAGCAAAGACATGGTAAATATTTATACCGTATGTGGTGTGAAGTGCTTATTTGTACATCAAATCCACTTTGAAGTATGCATATATTCCCATCCACAAGTCTTCAGTTCAGGTAAGGCCTAGTTATATTATAATTTGTTCTATTTTGAAACAATTAGTACTGGATACAACAACTGTTCAGTCCAAATGGATTGAATGTGTTATTTTGAATCTAAGAACATATATAACATCTGCCATTTGTGAATAGCATTGGCAAAAATTCTAATTCCTGTTACATTTTTAAGATTATTTGTCAAGTGGGTAGCATTCAACACAAGTCATTAATATGTCTTATATGTTTGTAGTCCTTGTTATAACCCCCATCCCTGGTTGTGATCATGTGATTAATTATTGACATTGATTTGTTATTGACCACAGTTAGAATTACATTCTGGGATAAAGGTAATATTTCATTTTTATTTCAGTGAATTCCTTAGGAAGACATCTGGAGACTTGGAGATTTTTCTAGTATTTTCCAATAGGCTAAATATCCATCACCATTCGATGTCCATTGGTTTCAGAATATCTTGTATGTATTTGGGTTGTTCCCAGTTAAAAGTGACCTCTGGCCCTGTCTGGCCTCATAACTAGCAATCTTGTGCTTATCATCTGAATGAAATCAAAGGAAGTACCTATGTCAGACATTATTGAAGGCACTTGTTGATATACTTACCGTAGTGCCTGTTCAGTAAGGGCTTCTTTTTTTGTGACTACAATGAAGTTGGTAGAAAGGTGAGCGAGTGTTTATTCTAAGGTGAATTAAATATTCTTGTTCAATTGGAAGAACAAGTTCTGCACATGATTTTTCAGAGGGTGCACTTGTCATTTTGTGCCCTTTGCAGGACTGAGTGAATCTTACCCCATGCAGTTTCATGTAAAGTCCACACGCATTGCACACAGGCTCTCCCTCCGCATTGCGGCGCCACAGGGTGGTGGTGGTGGTGTGACAGTTGGTGCAAGACAGGCCCACTCTTCTGGAGGCAGACTGAAAACAGAGAAACCGAGCTCTGGCGGCTGCTGACAAACGACAAGCCACGAAGCCTACCGGCAGCGGTTTTTAATCTTGAAATCTGTGGCAAGGTGATGGGTATCGAAAGCGAGGTAGAAATGAAAAGAAATTGCCGAAAGGGCATTAGGCCTCGTTTTTTGGCGTAAGCTTCTAGCATCATGAAATCTCCATGCACTAGAATTTTAATCCTTTCACCCATTTTTGGCTCCCTCCTCAAATGAAAAACACTTTTTCCTTCTGTTTTTGAACTACCGGATGCCCTGACTCATTATAAGTTTGTTGTCTCTTCTGTGACAAAAAGGGTTTCTGGCCTCCAATCTCATTTTGGTTCAGGCAAGGGGTGCAGGAAGGTACTTCAATTTTGTGCTCTTCCCAATCCCCTAATTCCACCCAATTCCTACGGGCAGTATACTGTGAAAGCTCGCCTGCCGTGTTGTGACTCTTGCTTACCAGACGACGCTGCGGCTTGATGAGGGGTCGGTTTATGCCGTTCATCTTGTGGTAGAGTCCACAGGCATTGCAGAGGTAATGCCCCGTGCCATCGCGCCGCCAGAGTGGAGTGGACATGGCACCGCAGTTCACACACTCCCGCCCCTCAGCAAAGTCATCAAACAGGTCTGCGAGTCGGAGGAACAGGAAAAGTCAGCCAGTGCGGGCACTGAATCTGTCCGTCAACCTGATCACCACAAACGGGTGCCTCCCTCTGGTGTGGTGCGCAAAAATGCAGAGCTGGATTCAGAAGCATGAAAGCAAGTTTAAATCGTTACAATGAATTTTCTGTTAGTTTACGTAAGTCATATTGATCTTTATTTGAGAATTGTGTTGAATAATCTGAAATATGAAATGGCCTGAGTTCAAATTTACACCTTTTACTGTTTTCTGAGACAACATTTGTACTGTACCTCCTCAGACAGCCGGACATTTTACTGGAGCAAACAGGTGGAAGCACTGTGCTCAAGGGTTTGACAGCAGTGCCTCCTTGTGGGATGTGAACCCACAACCTTTCAGTTCTGAGCCCAAAACCCTCCTTGCACACGGCTACCATAAACATTTAACAACTCATTGATACCTATTTAAATAGTGATGTCGGGAGTACTGAAGCAATAGTTATATACTCATCACCTCATGATTCCCAGTTTGCATCTATGAGCTCTATTGTAAAAGCTTGATAAATAATGGCCAAAAAATCTCACTAGCTCCTGTTAAGAGAATATCAATTCAAATATTTGTAAAGGCATAATACATAAAAACGGAGGTTTGAAGTTTAATTTACTTATATACATTTAATCTGAGACAAAAAACAAATACAGTGATAAAGCTGTACTATAGGCAGCAATACTGCTTATACAGGATGTGTACATGGATATGTTTGTATATCTACAATTTACACACTGTTTATAACTGACAACATTTGTTTCTTCAAAGTGGCCACTGATTTGGATAGAACTGAATTACATGAACTGCAAGAAGTGTTCAACTCCACTCAGACCCACTTAAGAGTCCTGCCTAAGTGAAGTTAAAACAGTCAAAATAATGATTTGTGTGAAAAGAATAAATCCAGTACTAAAAGAAATGTCTGATTTACAGGATTTGTGTTACTACTACCTGAAAACATTAACTAATGGAGAGTTCATTGATTTCACTGATGTGAAATCCTGAACAAATACTTGGAAGAACCTTAGAAACCATAACATTGAACATGTTGTTGTTATCTTTCAATACATGTATTGAGAAGACTCCTTGGTTATTAGGCTTCTAATAACCAAACTAGCAAGAAGGGTCAGGTTACCTGCTTTAATTTGCAAAGTACTTTCTTACAATATGTACCATAGAAATATTGATCACTGTTTTAAAAAAAGATATCTCTGCTTTTAAAGATGTCCAGAAACGAGTAATCCATACATTCCTGGGCTTAAAGGAAAGCTCTGTACAGACAGGTTAAAATAATTGTACCACTGTGGTCTTGAACATAAAAGATTACAAGGGGACCTGATTCATGTATTCAAAAACTTTAAAGGCACTGACAGTCTGAGAAGTTCTCCAGAATTAACATTGAAATATGGTTAAGGAAAAGCTACATTAAAATGGGTTCAAAACTGAAGACAGGAAGCACTTCTTCACTCAAAAAGGTTGTGGGAGTATGGAACAAGCTAACCAGCCATGCTGTTGAAGGTGATGCCCTGGCTTTCTTCAAGAAACAGATAGACAAGATCCTCAGATTATTTAGCTACTTACTACCAAAGAGGGACAGTATGGCTTCCTTCTGATTGGACCTTTTCTTATGTCACTCCCTGTATAATGCCTAAGAGAGCCACAGGCAGACAATAGGAAGACTCCTGGAGATGATACAAATGCTTTGACCAGTTTTGACCAACAGGTGGCGATATAGTTCTATATAGGAAAGCAAATTCTGGAGATATATTTTATTTTATTGAAAGCTTTGTATTCATGAAATTCCCTTCAGGTTCTGTCCAGAACCTATGAAAGTTAGTCACACTATATCTTCTCTTCCTGACATGCATTTATTTAACTGTTTTAAGTAAAAAGCTGTTCATTTTATTTATTGACTACTTATTAAGGTCCTTATAGTAATGTTAGAAGATATTCCGTTCTTATGAAATTGCAATGTTTTGTACAACCTATTGTTCAGTGGCTTAATACACTTCTTCAGTGTCATGATTGTTAAAGGACATTGAATCAATGGCCAGCTTTATTAAAAGGTAAAATTGTTCATTGTGATGGACTGTTCAGAAATATGGTTTAAACAGATAACATTTCTGCTACATTTTAGAAACAAATTGTTTTTGAAAAGGGACCTACGAACATAATTTGTCAGGCTGTCAATGTACAAGATTTTCAGTTGATGAAGTGTATCTTTCTGAGTGAGGACAGTGTTTCTACTGGCTGTATGAATGCTGTTGTTTTTAAAACCTTTTATTTTGTCTGTCCTTTGTATGAAATTAGTACATTAGAATTATATAGAAATCTTGCAAGACTGTACATATACTGATCAAGAAGAGTGCATCCATCAGAAAGTTTTGAAAAGGGAATTAAAAACTTGATTGTACAAAATGTCATTCAATTAAAAAACTTTCGATTTTTACAAGACAGCACTTTTTGTTTTGGCCAATAATATTATCTAGCATTATTAAGAGAATCTAGCATTATTTTCCATAAAACAAAAAATGCATGAAACATTAATGTGCTACTATTGGGCTAACTATTTTGACACCTGAAGATGGCTCCACAAATGAAACACTGTGCCTCTTTTCTTTTCAGCGTGGAATAAACCTTTATTTGTTCCAAAATATAGAGTATAGTTTATTTTATGTAACAGTATAGCTGTTACAATTATCTATTGTTTCTGTAACAAAAAGTAAAGTAACATTTTAACAGAAATTAAATTTATTTTGTTATTTTATAACGTTAATCATTTGCAAAGTAAAAAAAAGTTATAAAACTGACAAAAACAAGAACAATTATATATGAATTTAACACAATTAAAAATATACAACTGAGTTGCTCAGCTCAATCTAAAATACAAAGTATATATAATACTGATGTTTTTTAAAAGTTATAAAATGCTGTTATTACTGCACACTCAGTAGCTTTTCACATATTAATAATTGGTTGAATATTGAGAAATAGCTTTCTAAAATTGTGTGCTTTTATTTTTTATCTGAAATTGTACCTTCTTGTACTTTAAGGAGGCCAAAATATGTACATATCAATATCTGTAATATCTGTAGGTTAGTTTAAAATAGTAATAGATTTATTAAGTCTCTTATTATTTTTAAAGACTATTATATATTTTCAATATACACAATACATACAGTATATTAAGATTTTCAAATTATCAAATTATCATTGTCTAAAAAATAAAAAAAGCTAAGAATAAAACTCTTGAGAAAGCAAGTAATTTTGTTGTACACATAAATGTACAATGCTGAATAAATATGATCTGGCAAGAATATTTTCTTTAGCCTTGTGTGAAGGTATAATGAAAAATACAAACGCAACTTGTCCATAGTCAAGGTTAATATAGCTACATCTGTGGAAACTTCACAGATGCAAAAGTAATTTACATTTACTCAACATTAGCACTGTATACTTCAGAATATATATATTATAATAGATTTTTAGAGTAAAACATAGTGTCCAGGTTTACTACTGTATATGATGTTATAAGGAGAAGCACAGAAGAAGGCTGGAATGTTGTATGAGATATGGTTTTATTGTTCCCAGTATATTATAAATAATGTTTATACTACTTCCTTTAGGGTGTGCTTATTTTGTGCTCATTTTATTTTTATTTTTATTTAGTTTTATTCAGTTTAGCTTTTATATATAATATTTGGCCAGATCTATCAAATTCAGGGCCATTTGAATGAAAAATTATTCAATATTACTATTTTTATTCTTAATAGTTCTCTTCCAGAAGATATCAAGTGTTTTTCTTCCACGAGATTTTAATGACTTCTTAAGTTAACATTACTCATTTTGACAAATTCATTCTTGCACATGAATGGCAAATTTAGAATTATCAGTGGCTGTTATAAATCTCTCTTTTAGAGATTTATTTGAGAGCTATAACCACAAACTGGGGTTTGGGAAGAGTGCCTGGTACTGAATAGGCATTTGTGTGTACATGATATATTTTATAGTGTAATGCAATACAAATGCAAAAAGAAACTGGAATTTCATGTGCATCACTGTTTACTTTAGATGGCATGTTCCTGTCAATGTACTGTATAATTTTTACTCCATTACCAAAAGTGCAAATTCAGATGAACATGAACTTATCTGGACACCTCATTGAAGAATATAATAGTTAATAGTGAGTGCTGGTATTTTTAAAATTGTCTTATCAGTATATACAAGCTACTGAAGTGTTCTTCTTTGGAATGAAAAGAATTTATGTTTAGTAATATAGGAATTACTGGGGATTAGTAATATGAATTCCCAATAGATATATTTATCTTTAGTAATACCAGAAAGAAGCTCCATCGACAAAACATTTAGCCCTTATCTGGATGTTAGTTTTTAACCTTTTATTTTTACAATAAATAACAAATCATTCATTAGGAGTTTACAGATTTATGTTAATACATGTTAATACTTCCAGTGTTTTGAATTAAAAATGGGAATCAAAAATTAACAATATAAAAGTCTGGTAAAAGAGCAAGCTACAAAGGTTAGCAATGAAACATACAGCTCAGTATGGGTAAGATGCAACTGTCTTTTTTCCAGTGATAAATCCTTTGAACAGTAATATGACAGCCTAAGACTGATTCTTCTTATTTTCAGTTTATAGACTCCTCCAAAGCTCTGTTCGGTCTACCCTTGAATCTTAAGGTTTCATCTGTTTTCTTTAGCTTAAGTATGATAAGATTAAAAGCCAGCAAGACTAAATATTTATATGGACTCCTAATGATTTCTAAAGACACTCACATTCTTGGCGTTATTAAAAAGTTCTTGATTTGAGCTGGCATATCACCAGTAAAATGTGCTACAGTATATCTTGTCAAATGAGACTGGTTCTTTTCAATTACAGGCACTGCAATTTTTGATAGGTTTTCCATTAATATTAATTTACACTTCACGTTTTGGAGCAATC